GTTTACCTTAAGGTCCACTCTTGGTATTGTACTTTACATGGATTTTGAGAAATGTAAATGACATGTGTTCACCATTCTAGTATCTTACAGAGTAGTTTCACTGCTCTTAAAATATTCTCTGCCTTTTCATTCCTGCTCACTTAACCCCTGGCAAACACTGATGCTTTTACTGTCCATAGTTTTGCCTGTTCCAAATTATATTCTAATTATATTTGTCATATAATTGGAATCATACAGTATGTCAGTATGTAGCCTTTGTAGATTGTGTTCTTTCACTTACTATTGTGCAATTAAGGTTCTTTCATGTTTTTTTCATGGCATAGTATCTCATTTCTTTTTAATGTTGAATACAATACAATTCCATTATCTGGAGGACCACAGTTTATCCATTCAGCACCTACTGAAGGAAATCTTGGTTGCTTCCAAGTTTTGACAATTACGATTAAAGCAGCTGTAAACATTCATATGCAGGTTTTTGTGTAGACATAACATTTCAACACATTTAGGTAAATACCGAGGAAGGCAGTTGCTGGATCATATGATAAGAATATGTTTTGTTTTGTAAGAAACTGCTAACCTACCTTCCAAAGTGGCTGTACCCTTTTGCATTCCTGCCAGCAATTAATGAGGGTTTCTGTGGCTCAACATCCTTACCATTATTTGGTGCTGTCAGTGTTTTGGATTTTGGCCTTTCTCATAGGTGTATAGTAGTGACTTATTTTAATTTGCCTTTTTCTGATGACATATGATGTGGAACATTTTTTTACAGGCTCACATGTTTGTTTTTTGTTAATTCACTTAATCAAGAAATAGTTATTGAGTACTACACACACACACACACACGCACGCACACGCACGTGCACATCCCCAATATATACTTTTATAAAATAAATTTTACTTATGTAGGTGTGATTTTCTTGTAGGCAAGGAAATCACTTGCTAGTAGTATTTACAGGAAGGTCTTTTCGTTGTATGTATGTTTTGTATAAATGGTGACTTAATCTCATATTTATCCTAATCTGTTGGTTTATAATTACACATACATATACTAGATGTAAAGTATTATTTACAGTATGGGAAAAGCTATACAAATTATCTGTTAAAACTTGGTAGGAAGATATGTGCTTAATAGATGTCTTCTTTTTGTTAATAAACATTTACTGTTTTTTTAAAAAAATGCAAATGATACAAGCTTATTTTAGGAAATTTGCAAAATACACGTAAGAATAAAGAAAACAAAAAGGAACTACAATCTCAAAATTAAATCACTGATTAAATTTTGGTATCTGTTTTAATGTGTTTTTGCAGATATTTATCCATATATGTATGTTTTTATAAACATATTCCTCCTTCTACAAAATGGACTATGCTACATATATTTTATTTTGATTATTATTTATGATAGACTTTTGGACATTGTTATTTAAGTTTTCCCTCTGTTATAAACAATCTTTCAAAGCCTATCCTTATTTCTTATTAGGAGCACATATGTGATCCCTTTGCTTAAATTTCTAGAAGTGAAATTTCTTAATTTAAGGACATGTAGAATGTTAAGGAACACATAAAATGCCCTCCAAAAAAGACAGCATCAATTTCATTCTCAACAGCAATCTATTCGAGTTTTAAATCTCTGAACCTTATTTATACCAGGTATTTTATAAAGTACTTAGCCTTAAGATACTTCTTTTAACGTATGCCACCTAATTTTTTAAATTACAAGTTATTCGTGCTCTTTGTAATAGCCAAATGATGTATACGTATAAATAAAGAAAAAAAAGTATCCTTTTCAGTCTCTCCCCGACTTGATACCCCCTTTTAGATCTTATATAACAGGTGTTAAAAATTTGGTTTGATTCTTCACAAATTTATTTGTGCTCATATAGTTATACAAAGTGTGTGTTCAAATTTTAACATATATGACTTTTTGTATTCAATTTTTTAAAAATTTAGTTCCAATTTTATTTTAATGTGGGTAACTTCCTTAGGTTTTTCTTTCATTTTACTTATATTTTACAAATTTTTCTTCATCTAGGTCTAATTTAAATGATTATAAAGTTCTCTTCCCCTCCTTCATCTGCCTTTTTCAGAAGAGCTGTCTACTTCTGGGATGTTTAGTCCCTTCTTACATTCTTGAGTATTTAATGATACTTGTATTAGAGTCTGTTTCAGATTGTTCTATTATCTGAAATTCTTAACATTTTAGTCTTCTTTTCTGATGTGTCTAATAACCCTTGCTTACAGTGGATTGTTTTCTCCTGCTGATACTTTTGGACCATGAACTCATCTTCAGTGATACTTTATCTTTTGGAGTTCTTTGAGATCCGGGTTAGGGGAGTAGTTCTCTAAAGCAAGCTTGCCTAAACTCTTACTAGGTAACCCAGTGACATCACGATTAGTTCTGTTGTTTAGGGACTCCTTTTCAGTCCATAGTTAAAATTTGTGCCTTAACTCTGTGCTCGGCACAAGTATGCTGTTTAATTTTTTCAGAGGACACTTCTTTTGCCCAGATTCCAGGTATATTTGTTGTTTCATGTGAGCATGGGGACTTTTTTTCTGGTTCATATTTTTACTGATAGTGTAATTCTTTAAGGGCCCAAGTTTTAGAAAGAAAGCAATCTCACTGTTAATATTTCTTCTTGTGTTGGCTCAGGTAGGTTGTGCCCTAGGTTACCATGACTGTTTTCCTCCAAGGCAGCCATAGCTGCTTTTAATGCCACTCTGGTTTCCAATTCCCTCTTTTTTTTTCTGATGCTTGAGGACCTTTTATCCAAGATTTTAGGTATTTGTAGCTGGAAATTTTGAAAATTAGTTTTTCATCTTCCATTTTGCTAGAACTGAGACACCAATTGCTGATTTTCTATATTAATTTCCTGCACATTGGTAATTGTATTCCATAGACAAAAAGATTAATAATGATTGAATAAAATGTAGGATCCATTTTATTCATTATTATTAGTACTAATAAAATGATAACTAATATTTATTGGGCTTTTAGAGTGTGCTAGGTACCATGCTAAGTGCTTCAGATACATTATCTAATCTAATTATTAAAATAATATAGTGAGGTAGATAGGATTTAATATTATTGTCCCGTCATTACAGAGACAGAAAACTGAGGTCAAGAGAGATGATGTAATTTGTTTCTGGCTAAGATCACCTGGCTAGTAAAATAGGAGGGATGGAATTTGTATCCAGTTTCTTGATTCTGGACCTGTGTTGGTTCTTTTTTTCCTTTTTTTGACATGGATTTTCGCTCTTGTTGCCAAGGCTGGAGTGTGCAATGGCGAGATCTTGGCTCACTGCAACCTCCACCTCCAGGGTTGAAGTGATTCTCCTGCCTCAGCCTCCTGAGTAGCAGGAACTACAGGCGTATGCCACCACACCCAGCTAATTTTTGTATTTTTAGTAGAGACAGAGTTTCACCATGTTGGCCAGGCTGGTCTCAAACTCCTGACCTCAGGTGATCCGCCTGCCTTGGTCTCCCAGAGTGCTGGGATTACAGGCATGAACCACCATGCTTGACCCTGTGTGAGTTCTTAATGCCCATGTAAAGAGACTGTTCTTATAAGAAATACTTGTTATTCATCTGCCTATTGTAGGCAATAGGGTTGCAGTGGAGAACAAAGCCTACCCAGTCTCATGGAGAGTAGAGTTAGCATACTGTGTGGATTAAAAACACTCTTCCCGTAAATGGAAACAAGTTGGTTTATTTCCACAACATTTAAAATATTAAAACATCAAATCTTATTTTGCATAGGTACCTTGTATTTAAGAGTCTTGTTTTTGATACATCATGTAACAATTATATCTTATCCATTTTCATACTCTATGTCTGACACAGTATTGTTTTGCCAGAAAGATGTTTTACTATATTTTAATAAAGACATAATTTTATTTACTTAATTTTGTATGCCCTATATAAACTTGTGGCTCTTATTTAATTTAATATGTTCTTAGAAATTGGACCAATTCTTACTTACGGAAAAATAATTAGTTTTCAATTCTTTGTAAATGTATTATTTAATGTCAAAGAGTTGAAGTCAGAGTATGATCCTCCTAAGACTACTGGCAGCACCTAGTAGAATGTATGTGGCATATTATTTAGTTCACTTCCTACATTCTTCGACTTTGTTTCTTCCTTCTTTCATTTTGTCTTTTAGATTGCTCCTGAAAGTCTGAATCTTAATTTCTACCTTATTTTTCTATCCTCCCTTCTTTTTTTCCTCCTTCCTTTAGTGAGAAATATTTGAGCATAATCCGTGTTCTAGTTTTCTGATAAAGTAGCTATGACCTTCTCCTTTGATAACTCTCATTCTGTGTGATTTGGTGTCTTTTTTGATATCTGTTTATTGACAGCCTGTTTTTGGTTCTGCTTTTGTTTCTGTGAAATATTGGGTTATCTTATAGTTTTTTTCTGTGTTATCTAACCTCAATTAGTTACTCATGTTTTAACTTTGTAAGTGATAATACATTGAAGGAATTATTTGTTGTTTGCGCTTATTTGGTATAACTTTTCTTCTTGTGTGGAAAATGAAGAGTTCACTACAGTTTTCTGTTTGATTTAGGAGATTATTCTATCCAGGAAAGAGAAAATAGTTGTCATAATTGCATATAGTCACCCATATGTTTAAACCTACACAGTGACAAACTGAAGATTGCTAATGCGTGGGGTGGATTTGGTGAATAATGACTAATCTAAATTTCACAATTATATTAATGTTTCACCTGGCAAAGTTAGTTTTGTTTTATCTTTTAATGACATGGGCCCACTGCATAATTGTTAGTGCTTTCTCTAAAAATTTGATCACTTACTCTGACCCCACCCCGACTTGAAGTGTTTCAAAGATGTAGAAAGCAATCTGAATAGTAATTTCTTACATTGATAAAAGTAGGTCACATGAAGACAGAATGGAGATTTTTGTGTGCCAGATTTTAAGGACTATGCTTTTCCAAAGACACAAATTTTTAAAAGGCAAGATAATATCTGTTATTCTTTGCAGGCTGATCAGTTGATGTTCGCTTTGCATTTTGTTCGAGGCATGCATCCTGAACTTTTTCAAGAAAATGTAAGTCAAAGTAAAGGACAGAAATTTTACAGTAACATAGAAATTTGTTAATGGGTAGACTTATGTTTACATTAGAAGTTACTTTAGGCTAGAAATTATATATCAACCTATTAATCTTTTACTAAGTTAGAAATGTGGTATAAAATGGTGATTTCTAGTTCTACTTCCCTGTGGATGAGCCTAACATTCCAGAGTGATGGTAAGGCAAGGAAAGAAATCTACCAAGCTGCCTACATTTTTCTGAACCCAGGGTCACTTACTTAGGGCAACAGAAGAGTCAGCCTTCTTATTTTCCTGGCCTAGGTAGTAGAGCTCATAAATAGAAAAAGTGAGATAATATTGGTACAAAACTACATTTTTTATTGCTTCCACTGAACTGTCAAGAGGCAGCAGGTGAGGCATGAGGATGGGCAGTTCTCAGAAGTTTGCCTGAACCTACAGGTTTATGTTCATCTTTTTATGTATAATTTATCTTCCTTGTTTATGATCTCATTTCTAGTCTGCCATGTAACCCCTTCTCAAACTTCAAAAGGACCTCCCTTGAGCTGGAGCTAATGAAACCATTTCTTGTCTGCTTACAATTTTAAAAACAGTTATTCGCAAGTAATTTGTCTCATTATGATGCTGTTATCATAAAGTGAGATTCCAGTAGCCAGGGTGCCAAGGGATGGTATATGGACAGTGCAGTTTTGACCTACTTTACTCTACTTGGTCAAATTTTGAGTATTTTCTGGTTCCTTTCATTTGAATATAATAGTTAAAAGAATGCAGACCATTCACAGTTCTTCCTATGTTCTCTCTCTGTTTTTCTCTGACTCCACATGCACTGGCTAACTTGTATAGTTTCTCCTGAATTTATTCATTTGGTCCCATTAACTCCTGTTGATAACTTTGATGTCTTTTCTTCTTCCTATATAATATTTTTCACTATGATCAGTAGGTTCCATGAAATATATATATTCACTATTTTTCTCTCCTAAAGTATAAAGAAACTGTCATTGGGAAAGGAGAACATTTTTCTGTGACTCACATAATGTAGTAGTAATCATCCATATTTTGCTTATTTGTGGCTGCATAATTCTAATAGGAAGAGTGTGTGGCCAGGGTGAGTGAAGGCACAAAATATGTTGCTTTGGTAGTTTTTCCACATTGCTCTCAAATTTTCATTTATTTTGCTTATTTACTGGCCAGTGTGTGACAATAGTATGGTAGTACCTATTATTGTCTAACTAGGGGATGCCATGGGGAAGGCATAGATTTTCTTAGCACTAGATTCTGGAACACTTGATTAATCTTAATTCTATGGCAAAAAAAAAAAAAAAAAAAAGGATTAATGGCATCTTCTCTCAATCAGTGAGAAAAAATATGTTAATGGAATTACTTTTCTCAATATTTCCTACCGGATACCATTTTTAAATTTTTGGGTGCACCTTACTGCTTACTCATTAGCAACAAATAGCCTGTGGAAAAACAATTAACAGGTAGTGACAAATGTTAATTGAACTTGACATTTAAATTTTTAGACATTGAGACTCATATATAATGGAGTTATTGTTTTGTTTTACTAAAATTATTCTTAGTAGATTTCATATTTTATGTTATCACATTAATACATTCTTGATAATGTTAACATACTAGAAGAAGTGGTAAGATGGAAATGAATTTTTTTTTTTCCCTATCTCCATAGAGAACTGCATTTTAAGCCATCTTATAGGGTAAGTTAGACAATTTTGTTGACTGGTTATCATCTTCATATTCTTGTGTTCCTATGTTTTTATTCAATAGGAATGGGATACGTTTACAGGTGTGGTTGTTGGAGACATGTTACGTAAAGCTGTAAGTTAAAATAACAATCTATTTTGCTGTTAGAGAAAATATTTCTGGCTTTTTGTTGATCAAGTATAATTTGCTTCAGAGGTGTTCTAAATTATTGTTGAAGTTATACTTTGATTAGAAGAATGTATTCTGGCCTCTTAAGTATTTCCTATAAAATAGACCTAAGTATATTTGTTTATTTTAAAGACGTATATTCTGAGAATAATATGTAATACTAACAAATTAATGCAGTTTCTTTTTCTCAGTATATGTATTTTATTCCAAGGATAATTTTATATAATCTTTAAGAAAAACAAATCTTATAACTTGAAAATTTTTCTTATATAATGGGAGTCTTAAAATTACATTTTAGAACTTTTAATAACTTCACTCAAATTTAGCTTTTTTCCTAGTAATTTCCTATTTGAATACATAATAAATAATAGTCTTCTAGCAGTATACCCAAAATATAACAGAGAACCTAGATAATGTCTGAAATGTAAGATATAATTAAAAATAATGTACCTTTTATGACAGTTCCTCATGACATTTGAGTTTTTCTGAAGTTTCATGAAAGATTAAGCACAAAAAAAAAATGATTGCAACATTTGCCTAAATGGTTCTCTGTCCCTTATATTACATAGAATTTTACCATGGTGGCTTGTAAAATACATTTTAAAAAAAGAAATAATGTATAGAATGAACTTTTTTTTCAAAATAATAAAATAGCTAATCAATTACTATTTTTCAAACTCTGAATTTTACCAAGTATACTAAGGAAAAGAATTGCTTTTATTAAAGGACTCTCAACAAAAAATACGTGATCAGCTTCCGTCTTGGATAGATCAGGAACGAAGCTGGGCCGTGGCAACATTAAAGGTATTCCTTTTCTACTATGAGACATATTTTAATTTCTTCTGTATTTACATTGTTTCTGTTGATACTTTGCACTCCTTATTCATAATTAGCGTTAATATTTTCATAGGATGTAAGTTCTCCCAGTAAAAAGTTACCGAAGAATTATTGTGATGAGTCCTTTAATCAGTAATTACTAAACCTTTTGTTTATGAAATAGCATGCCTTCCAAATACAATATTTTCTTTCTCTTTCTCCAAATCCCAGCCCCCAAGGTAAGTTAGGCTATGAGAATGGTGACATGGGAGAAGAAAAAGCAGTTTAGAAGCCTGACTCTCAACAGTTCTGTTTCTTCAACTACTCAGGCTAAAAATGTTGTTTTTGTGGGAAATGAAAGACAAATCTATGCATATATATGTTTCCATCCTTCCCTTCCTTCCCCTGCTTTTCTTCACAACTGTTATAACATAATAATAGCACATGATAAAAACAGTTAGAATAGCTAGCATTTACTGATGGCTTACTATGTTCAAGGCATTATACAGAATTTGAAAATGGATTATCTCACTAAATATTTTCAATGACATTATGAGGTAGAATAGCTAGCATTTACTGATGGGTTACTATGTTCAAGGCATTATACAGAATTTGAAAATGGATTATCTCACTAAATATTTTCAATAACATTATGAGGTAGCTATTGTAATTATCCTTGTGTCACAGATGAGGAAATTAAGGCACAGAAAGATACAGTAACTTGTTTATGGTCACTTAGGAAGTAGAGCCAGGATTTAAAACTGTGTTTCTTGCTCCATAGTCTGGGCTCTTCACCACTACTCTTTACTGCTTTCATTTCATAAATATTGGTTGAGTAAAATAAATGAAAAAAAGAGGGGGACGATTCTGTTTTATATCCTCCATTTTTTTCATTTATCATTTGTTTGGTGCTTACTACCAGTTGGCATAATGCTAGTGACAGTCTTTACTTGACCAAACTTTAGTCAGCCTCTTGAACCTTCTTCTAGGCCCACCTGTGCACTTCCTTGTAAAATCTACTTTTAACAGGAACCTTGCAAAGTTGGTTTAGTGAGAATTTATTCATCTTCCATATCTGATTACCCTTGATATCTAATCAGATTCCTCATTCCCCACCATTCCCCAGGTGATTCTGATGACTTTGGCCTGTCTTCAGTAAGAATCCTATTAGATTGGTTTAGCCAGAAATCCCTGTACCCGATATTTCCTCTTAGTAATTTTCCATCCACTGACCTCACTTTGCTCCTTGGTTAAAAATGTCCACTTGCCCATGCTGTATTCAAAATTGAGCCCTGCCCTGTGCTGAAGTCTTTTTCCCCCTATTGCTTCTTCTGTTGTAATAGTCCTGAAAAAAAATCTGTTTTTAATGCTTTAACTACTGACAAGCTCTGGTGTTTTTGTTTATACCAGTGGAATGACAGGTGTCTATTTTATAATATTAAGAGACTCGGCCATGAACAAACTTACACTGTAGAGAGCATATCAAATCATTACCTTGTCATAATGGTTGGCAGTATACAAGGTAGCCAAATACATGATGATAATAGAATGTGTAGCACTCCTAAATTAGTAATGATGGGGCCTTGTATACTAAATGTCACTAAAGTTAACAGACTACCATCAAGTGTTACTTTAATAGGCTTAGATCATTTATTAAAAAGTAATTAAACTGAAATGTAATTTTCTGCTGTTTAATTTTAGTTAAGTTATATAATGAAATTTGGGCAATATAATGGATTATTTTTATATGAATATAGATGTTTGGATAAAGCATTTTTATATACTTGATTTATGTTTATATTATATGAAGTTCTATACTGAAGATATAGATCTTCTAAATTTCTCATTTGTTTTCAGTGAAAATTCTTCACCTTTACAGATTTACATTTCTGATCTTACACCCCACTCTTGAAAAATTTGGGAAAAGAGAACACTATTTGAGGTAGAGGGAATTAATATGTTTGGGAAAACCTCTGAAAGATGATTTTGTTTAAAGTGAATATTGAACATGGAATAGAAATTTATGAGGTCGCAAAGAGGGTTAGAACATTTAGAGACAACAGAAGCAACATGTTTACAAATAGAGACATAAACAGGGTTTAGGAAAACATTCTTTTTTATTGAATTTGATACTGTTTTAGAAAAACAGAGCTTGACAGAATTTAAAACTGTGAAGGTAAGTTTTATTCAAAAGAACTATTGCCATAGGGAGAAAGAGATCTCAGTATAGTACTGGGCTCAATTCTGAATATAGCATGGACAAGTGGGAATTTGTACCCAAGAAGCAGGGTAAGGATTAGTGTTGGGGGTCAGTGGATAAAAAAAAGTGGAAATGTCAGCGGCAAGTGGGGATTCTGGCTAAACTGATTTATCTGGTGAAGGCAGATCAAGATGATCAGATACCAACAGATAACAAGGGTGGGAGAGGAGAAATTTTTTTTTTTTTTTTTTTTGAGACAGAGTTTTGCTCTGTGGCCCAGG